ATTTGTGCTGCTCTCCACATTTCACACAGCGCGGCAGATGATGGCAGTAAGTCCTGGTATGGCCATATGCCTGGCAATTGTGACACTGTACGATTTCCCTCTTAGGATATGGCTTCTCTACTATAACACTTGTGTAGTATATTCTTCTTATTTCGTATATTTTTTCGATCCCTTGATTTGGCTCCAAATCTACGAAAAATAAGGGTAGAGGAACTTTTACTCCTGGCTGTTCTTTACTCTCCTTCTGTACATTTGTAATCTGGCGCACTATGAAACCTAAAGTTTTCAATTCTTCTTCTATTGCTTCGGTTGGTGTTGAGGGGTGTAGATTTCTTATGACTACCCTCAAAGCTCGATCTTGCCGTAATTGGTACGTATGAAAATCCGCGTTGGTTTCCGTTAGATACTTCACAATTTTTCTGTAGGTTTCAGCTGTATCTGGTGATATCTTCGTGTCCTTTGTTCTGCTTAGACATGAATAGCTTCCAGAGCCTGTTATTTTGTTCAGTTGTGAGCATAGTAACTGAAAATTGTTTATGTTTTTAACGAATATGGGTGGAGGTCGGGGATCTCTTGGTATTGAAGCGGATTCCATCACTTCTTTATCATTCTGAAGCACCTGATAGGGGTTAGGGGTGAAAAACGGAGATTGTTCGGTTATCTCTTGTGAAGATGTACCTGGTTGATGCTGAAGTTCTTCAATTGTTGGTTTTGATGATGTTCCTGGCTGGGTTTCATTTTCTCTGGAGCTAATAGGCGTTACTGCAGGTGTTTGACGACATTGACGAGGCTTTTGTTTGACAGGCGAAGAACAAGGTGTTGAGCCTAACGGCCGAATTCTCTTGATAGAAGCTCTACTAGACATGGCCTGATTGTGATATCGCATATAAGGGAAAAAAAAATGAAAAAAAAAATAAATAAAATAAAAATAACCCTATAATTTATAACAAACAATAAATACCAATTGTTGTTATGTACTCTTGACTTGTTTTGAATAAATAATCTCAAAGATTTCACTGGAAAATAAGCAAATTCTGAGAGACGATGTAGAAACACATCCTTTCGCATCAGCTGATCCACTGCCTTCGAACAAGGCATTGGGAATTAATAGCATTCATTGCAAAGTGGATAGAAATCTTTATTACTATATAAAGATAATATTTTTTCTACTAAAGTACACACCGGGATACATGATTTATTTGAAATATACGTCGTAAAACATGACTTCCTGTCCTTCAGTATCCTTTAACAACACCTCACCTATTCCTGTTGGACAAATCCGTTACCCAGGATTAAACCTAGACAAACGTCTAATTTGGAATCCTCATACCAGCCTGAAACGACAAGAAACAGCTCGACGTTCCGGACTACTTCAACAAGACAAACATTCCAATTAATTACAAAAGACTCATATACATGACTATAATAAGGCCAATTTGCACTTACGGAGTTGAGCTCTGGGGCTCCACCAAATCTTCAAATTCCTATCGTATCCAATCCTTATAATCCAAAATCCTTCATAAAATCCTCAATGCTTCTTACTTTGTTAATAATAAAGTCATCCACGATGACCTTAATGTTCCTTATGTTTCAGATTTGGTAAAACCCAGATATCTATCCTTTCATAATAAATTTCATAACCATATCAACCCTCTTGTTTCTAACCTTCCTTCCTTTTCAATTCCTGATAACCCTCCGAGGCGTCTGAAAAGAAGATGGAATCTTGATCTCCTAATATGGACATATTATTAGAGTGCTACCAATGGGTAGTTTCTCAACATGTGTTTCATGTCATTATATCCATGTACGAATTTACTAGATCTTTTTTTTTTATACAGTTGTAAATATCATATAAACAATAATAAAAAAAATGAAATACAAATAAAATCGCTGTTTTAATTTGGATTAAAATTGCAAAACGACTGAATCAGAAACGTATTAAATTTGCAGGGTTACGGATTTCTCCTGTTTCTATTATGGGAATAAATAAAACATATGGTATGGAAACCTCTATCAAAATCATTAGAGATCATAGAATAGAAAAGTCAACTTTATCATGGGACAAGGTCCCTTATGAATAAGAATGTTGATTAACATTAAATTAACATTAAATCTGACATAAACATCTATTATGATAAAGAATAACTAAAACATAAGTAATACGACAAGTAAATATATGAGGTCCAACGTAAATTTTGAAATCACTGCAGAATTAAAAAGTAAATTAGATCAAGCTAGAAATATATTAGAATAAAATATTCAAACATACAATATGGAGAGATTAAACAAGACAAACACATATTTGCAATATAAAAACAAGAAATTAGCTTTAACGTGCAAGCCATTTAATGGCTGTGGTGTTACAACTTCCTTATCAAGTGACCGAAAGTGGCAATATTTTATCATTGAATTTATAAATTTTCACCCACGTTTATTGTTTAAAGTATCCTTGATGAAAACATTTTCATAACGTCTAAAAATATAATATTCAAAATTGAAAAAAATATATTTATTCTTAAAATGGCATTATATTATTAATCTGCCCATTCAGCAGTAAATGAACCCTTCACTGCTCAACGAAACTGACCCTTCACTACCCCTCTTAACAGAATGAATAGCTTTTCGTTTTGAATAAAGCTAATGCTAATGAAAGCTTTCCACTTCATGAGCTCTACAGAACGCGGTCTATTCGTTCTCAGAACATGAGGTCTATTTAAGGATACATGATTTCTTCATCTTTAGATATGTGGGTTATCCTATGGTCAGCTTTTTTTCTGCACAGTTCTATATTTAAAATTCAGAAGAATTCTATTTTTCATAAATTACAGGATTTTCACTATACCCTCCTTGTTAGGGGGACACAGCAACTTCCTGCTTTATTTAAATTAAATTAAATGAAAAAAGCAAGCAGTACTGTTGCCGTCTCTTGGCAGGCAAGAGGAGTAATAAGAGAGATAGTTTGGGCATGCAGTGTTTCGGCAAAATTCATGTCAACCTACGAGAAGAGCCTGGCTGTCCAGAAGGCAAATTAAGATCTGCACATCTTTTGGAAGACCAGGAAGAGAGAAAACTTGGAATGGATAAAAGAGCAAGTGCCTAGCAGTAATTTTTAGTCACGACCCACAGTTTATAATATGCAGATCAAATATTTTTTTTTTCATTTCATTAACCAACATATCAAATATAGCAATCAGTTTGAACCCATGGTTTACTTATAATCAAATCATTTGGATGTTCATAGCAGTCAAATTGGAATTAGTTCTTAGTAGCAGAATTAATATGTCAATATCTCGGACAGCCGAAGAAGGGATTGTCATAACAAATCAAACACTCCTATTTAATTTTTTTCAAACAGTTTGAATCAATATGATTAAGTTGATATATTTCTAACTTTTATGGATAATGTTAAGCTGCCCGTGTAAGAAATATAAAATATACGAATTTAGTTAAAATATTTTTAACTATTATTTTTCTGCTTATATAATGGTTATTACAAATGCGATTGGCACCAGATCCAATAAAGGTTTGAATTTGAATTGGCATATTTTTCGGAAGAATGCTATCAGATAAGAAAAATGCTTAACTATGTTTCACATTCAATTATGTTTCCATCCCAAACTCTTCAATCACACATCACAAACCTTGAAGAATGGTTTCAAAACTGGAGGATTAAAATAAATTCCAATAAATCCCATCAAATCACCTTTACCCTTCGTCGTAAACCAATGACTTGCCGTCCTATAGTATCCTTTCATAACACCCCACTTATCCCTGTAGAACAAATCCGATACCTAGGACTCCAGCTGGACAAACGTCTCACTTGGAATCCTCATAGAAGACTGAAACGACAAGAAACTGCTCGACGTTTCCGCTTACTCCAACACTTACTGTACAAACGCTCTAAACTTCCAAAGAATTACAAACGACTCATATACATGACTATAATAAGACCTATTTGGACTTATGGAGTTGAGCTATGGGGCTCCACTAAGCCATCAAATTCCTCTCGTATCCAATCTTTACAATCCAAAATCCTTCGTGAAATCCTCAATGCTCCTTACTTTGTCACAAATAAAATAATCCATAAAGACCTCAATGTTCCATATGTTTCCGATTTGGCCAAATCCAGATACCTATCCTTCCATAATAAACTTCATAACCATCCGAATCCTCTTGTTTCTAACCTTGTTTCCTCTTCGATTCCTGATAACCCTCCGAGGCGTCTGAAAAGAAGATGGCCTCGTGATCTTCTCATGTAGACAAATATCATAATTGTAAATATCATAACAAAAGTTAAAAAAAAAAAATTATGTTTCCATTGCTTTCTTCTCTTCAAACCTCTCAAGAAATTCTTTCTCACGTTGCCTCTTACTCATAATAAATGAAACGGAATTTAGAAAAACTAGACGGCCTTCAGATAAACATACCTAATTTTATAAGAATAAATATTAATACTTATGAAAAATGAAAACAATTTTTTTTTTTTAAATGGAGGTATCCGGTTCTGAGAACAAACTTCTCAGATCATAATAATTCCATATAAATCTTCCTCAACATCAAATAAAAATCGTACATCGCTGTTGAAGAAATACTGGTCTTAGAAATTATGTGATATTTGTCAGGAATAGTATCAGCCTACCATTAAAGCAACATCCTGATGATCCAAATAACGTATTATTAATTGTAATAGTAGCATTTTTCCAATGAACACATAATTTCATTAATAAATCTTATATGAGGAGAGAGATTTTTAATAACTTTCATCAATAAATTACGGGAGGTTCAGTGCCTCCTCATTTATTTTATCTATGAGCGATATTTTATTTGGAATTCTGTGATAGCAGAAACTAGATTACTATATCAGAGATTACTACAGAGGAGAAATTAGGTAACATCTGGTATCACATATGACATTAGTATACACTAACCTGTCAGTGTTCTGCCTTAGTGAAAATTAGGTTCGTTTCACATGACATCGAAACGGTTAGAGACGTTCGGCAATGTTTGGTCTTGATTCTGTAAGAAATGTTATTTTCAGGTGAGTTCAATTTATAGGTTTAAATATATTTTCTGCCAGTCTAACTATACCTTCGCCAGTTATTGAAGGTTGTCACCACTCCTTCTCCTATATTCCTTTTCCTTTTCCCCACTCTTCCACTGCTCGGCCTTCAGTAACTGACCAAGATATATACACAATTAAATTATCTTTTAATTCAAATCATTAGTTAGTAAAAAAAAAATTATTTTTCATTGGTCATTGATTTTAGTATGACCTTGCAATTTTACCGTTTTTGAGCTGAGAGTAATTTTAGATAAATTATTCATATTCCCTTCTCTTAGTGAAATAAAAAATAATTGGTATATCGTACTCCATTTATTGAAAAAAATGATTTATAAAATTTCGTTTGGAGTAGCGACAGAACATAAATAAAACTCACGCATGCTCATTCCGTAGAAATACCATTATTTTAGCCACAAATCTTTTCAGATCCTCAACTATAAGATAAAACCAAGACAATTGGAGTGAGGAATATTTTAATAGGGTCAAATAACACGTTTGTGATTCTTTTTGTTTATTCCTTGGTATAATGAATATTTGTAATCAACCAAGAAAAAAAAATTAGGTTCTCCTCAAAGTTGAGAATTTTTGTTTCAAAATACATGTAATTTAAAAATTGGAATAGAAAATATCCAAAATCCGGAACCTGACTAAGGCTAATCATATTGGATACTTACCAGTCCCCACTAACCATAAAGCATATAGTAGAAGATTGTACATTACTACATCAAGCCTTTATAAAAAAAAGAATACCCCGTTGTAGAGAACTAGCATTAAAAAACTCAGAAAATTCAGTATAAAATATTATAAAACTTACAATATACAACACAATTGTACGATAGAATATAGTAATTAATGGAAAACACCAAAAGATTTTCTTTTCTTTTTTTTTTTTTTAGTTACAAATAAAAACATAATAGCTCAAGGGCGTAGTAACCAAGTTTTGATCGCCTAGGAAAACTCGTAACCGAACTTAACATCCACCATCCCGATAAAAAAAAAACGCCTTTTTTGTTACAAACCGATGTATCATTTTTTAAAATTATTTTCATGATGATCGTAATAATAATCGGGTGTAAAATTTAATTTTTTTTTTTTAGTCATATAATGCAAAATCCTTTATAAATAATGTGAATTGATTATCTACACTGTATATACGTATCGTAGATTTTGTTAAATATATATATATATATATATATATATATATATATATATATATATATATATATATATATATATATATATATATATATATATAACTTATTATTTTATTTTTTCAAAATCGAAATAACCGCATCATGAAAATAATAAATAATAGGAGAAACATAATGGCATATATTATATGGTGGATATTTTAAAATTTCTTAAATACAAATTTGAATACAGCTCACCTTCCTGTAAAAGAAAACGCGTTTGTGTATTCATAAGCGAATGTAAATAGATATTGATAAAATCGATCTCAGCCTTTATTACACCAATTGACAATTGTGCTCCAATTTAGAACCAACTTGGACTACCATTTTCTTAAAATATATATGTCAAGAACAAATGATTTTTACATTTGTAAGTTATTTAATTATTGTTACAATCTTTATAAATTATGCTTCAGAATTAATACGTCTAGATTACTGGAAATATCGTTACTTTTCTACTTTAAACACACCAGTAAAACTATTTTTTATCCAATTTTGTCTCTCTAACAAGGCGATGCATCAAGATATAATTTATAACCCTATCTATTATTTCTAAAAGGTGTTTTTTTTGTCAGTACGTCATAATTTCCTTATTTCCATCAAATCCAATGATTGACCACTCATTTTGAAGATATTCTTCTCCTTTACATAGAAAAAATAGTCCTATTCCCCCGAAATTTCTGGAAAAAAAGTTATGGAGGAAAAGATAGTTTATTAGCGAATAACCCAAATATTATGAATTTTTTTCTGGATTGTACCCATGATAATTAGAAAGGTTACTAAATTACCTAAAAAGCAAAAAAAAAATTCGGACAGCTATTAACAAAGATACAGTCCATTAGTTCTTCCTCTTTAAATATATTGCATTTAGGAGTGGAATAGTCTACTACACTTTTTTCCCTGGCTGATATATTAATTTAATTATTTCTTAAAGGCATTTGTTTGTTGTTACATTTGATATTTTCTAATAATTTAGAAAATCCCATGATCGAGGCATTTTTTGTCTTTATTACTTTAATTATCTTTCCAGCCAGCGTTTAAACATAGGTCCTAGCAAAGCAATTTGTACAAATATTTTGGTCTATTATTTTAAATGAAATATTGTAATTCACCAAGGAAAAACATTAATTCCTTCCTTACATAACACGTAGGATCTACTTATTTCCATATTAATTAGAGTACTACCAATAAGCAGTTTCTCAACAAGCGTTTTCATGATATTGTATAATTATTGTGTGCACATTTACTAGTTGCATTTTTTTATAATACAGTTGTAAATATCAATGAATGAAAAAAAAAATCTTATATTGTTTTGCCATTTCTTCACTAAACAAATATTTTTACGGATTATCCGTACGGGATAACTAGTAATCGCTTATTACAAAGAACTTGAAACGCTAAAACTTTGCCTCGTTTACAGTATTTAGGTCCGATTTATAGTTATATATTTTAATATATTTGAGATATTTTAATCCATATATCCAACCAAATTCGTTCTATTTTTGCCTTTCCAACACGGCGTTGCGTTAAGATACAATTTTGAATAATATTTCATTAAAACGAAGATACAATCCTAAACATTTCTCTTGCTTACTGTATGCAGGTCCGATTTTTAATTTATGAGATATTTTAATCCAAATGCAAAAATACTTCAAAATTCACTGGTGTGCTTAAAGTAAAAAAAAGAGCCGAATTATCTTTCGGCATCCTAAGAGATTGATGATTTATTACTTTATTTTTTTTTACAAAAAAAAATGATATAAAGTGTACTAATAGGACCTAATACTTATAAAAGATGGGAAAGGAGAAGTTTCAGTAAAAAAAAATGTGTTCTGAAGTAGAAATTTAAAATTACTTTCTACTTGAACTTGGAGGAGAAACTTTTCTAAAATAAGAAGCGGGTTAAGGCGAGATAAGTGATGCTGCTAGAAGCCACTTATTTTCAAGCTCGGAATATTCTCTTGAATATAGCCTACGCTCTCGCCCCTCTAGCCTAAGCAATAATCATAGTTCAGAATCGGAGGAACTTTAAATGATTTTGATTAATAAATATTCTTTGTTATTCGAATTATAAAATAGAATTAATTTATTGTTATTTATGTAATGTAGCTGAGAAAGACGTCTCAAATTAGATAGCTATCCACCTTTTCCATAATGTATCCAAAGTGAACGAGATTTTTGGAAAATGATTTTATTTGCATAGAAAATATGATAATATCAAGAACATCATACACAACTGATGAATACATGCACAAACATGAAGGAATCAAGAGGAAAATAGTAAAGCTCAATTTGTTTTCGATTTTGATGGCCTCTTATAGTCACAAGCCGAATGGTCTAAACGTTTCTGAAAAAACACAGCCCAAACCTTTTTTTTGTTTCTAGTTATCAGATAAAAAAAATAATAGTTGGCTAGAAGAAAAACAATTTTAGTCCACCTAGTATTGAGAAGAACCATTTAACTGCATATCGTCAGTTTTAGTTGACACCGCTTACTACACGGTTCTGATTAGTGTTGCGAAAATACGAGACAGAGACGAGTCTTGGTCTTGCAAACTCAGTCTTGGTCTAGGTCTAGGTCTTGCGCAAGACTCTCGTAACAGTCTTACAGTTACCTATTAGCTTATTACTAGAGCGATATAACTGTATTTTCTTAGATATGAGAAACCTAACTAAGGCTGAATGAAAAATTAGAAGACTTAAATGCAAAAGTATATTGGTTACACCAATTCTTTACATATAGTAACTAAAATTGTCAAGTATTAGTAACTATGTCGCCACAATTTTGTATTCAAAAAATCAATTTTTTTTACCATTCTTGGTCTTGGTCTTGCAACAGATAGTCGGTGTTGGTCTTGGTCTGTCAAAGTATAAGACCAAGAAGTACCTCAAACTATCAAGAATATATATCAACTTATAGGTACTGGTAATGGATTTCCAAAAACATTTTCCAGTCTTAAATATAACAACAAATGACACCTTATACAAACGCTAACTTAATTTCCTTAAACATTAATGATCCATATACTTTCTGATGATATCTCAGTTTTTTATATCTACGATATAACCATATCCATAAGAAACAGCTGATAATGTTTTCTTTATCACATCATTTCGCTTACAAGACCTTATCGGAAAATATATTTTTTTGTGACTCATGTCCCGGCCAAAATAAAACCTACATTGATCTGACATAAACAGTTATTAATCTATGAAGCTCATATTTCCTAAGAGGAGTGTAGAATATATGACATGAGATGAGATTGAAATATTCATATTTGGATACTTGAAATGAGACTTAGAAATTCTGGATGATAAAAAACATCCATAAATTATGCATTTTTGGCCCCTTTTGATTAACAAAAGAACCCGTAAAAAAAAAAAAATAATAAATAAGCAAAATAAAATAATGTTGAACTCTTTGTCAGTTGTATACATGACTTTAAAGGAGCCTTAAATAAAATATCTGAAGCTATTTATTAACTATATATGAATCAGAAAATTTTAAGAAATGTTTCGAATTTGTAATAATGATGAAATTTACGAATATGCAGATAGTATTCCAATAAAAGAAAAGTATGTTTGGCCTTTTTTTGTTTACTTTTGTAGTGAAAAAACTATTTTTTGTTTACTTTTTACTTTTTATTTAAAACAAATATTTAACATTTTAATCTGTTAATGTCTATTTTTATGCTATTAGAAGAAGAATTTTTTTAAAAATAATTTATTTAAAATTCATTTCTCTCAATAATGCTAATTTCTAAAAAAAAAAAAAAAAATGAAAAATATATAAGAAACTACGAAAGTTTTATTTTTCAATTAGTTAATTAATAAATTAGTAAGCACGTTTCACAATTATTAATTCAATATCAATCCTGACAGAGCCGGAAGGTGTTTGGGATCAGTTGTTGGGCGACGACTCAAGTCGACCTGCAAAGAATCTAAAAAGGAAGAAATAGCGAAGTACATCAAGTGCAGAAGGGACGCGCGGCTGTCGATATGTCTTGTAGAGGATGGAACCGTCCATCCATGTTGCGATCCTCCGAGGGTCATTATCATCGGTGCCGGTATGGCTGGTCTTTCAGCAGCTAACCGACTTCTTCAGTGTGGTATAGATAACTTCGTCATCCTGGAAGCAACGGACAGGTAAAGTCGAAAAGAAATTGTTCGACGACAATTTTAGGAATAGTACGCTTAATGTTGCAGGAGTCTTCTCTGTACATCTGTCCCGGAGATAAAGGACACCATTTTCATTTTGTTTATTAAATAATTTAGTAGCTATGAAACGAATTATAATAGCTCAAAGTTATGGAACATTGGCTGTCCTCAACAAACACGAAAATGGACATGGTGTTGTTTATCTCCCAGAGTAGATATATTAATATTAAAATTTACACCACCACTCGATTTTAACAAAATACTGATATCATATTCAGAAACAGTCTGCGTTTTGGTATCAACTTAAGTAGAATACTAATCTGAACACATATTCAATAACCATAACAAAAGAACTAAGAATAGAGCTTACTAAACAAATCTTTGAACCTGTAAAACGGTAACAAACTGCAAATTTCCAAAGACGATTCTGAATTTAATTTCTGAAACAGGTAAATATATAAACTTTAAATACCTTGAATCACTTTTAACAATACTTTCTTCAAATAGTAATCCATGCTTTATGTTATGTAAAAAAAAAGCCAACATACTAGTATCAAACATATATTTTTTACTTTATAGCAACCAAATTCTTCAAATTTCATAACATCTTTGAAATTCAAATGATCATCCTCATCTTTTGACATATTTCTATCTTACTTCACTTACTCTTATAATCGTTTATACGCCAGTGGCGTAGTTAAGTAAGAAGCGCTTATGTTTCTGGCTTTTTCTTTGTACAAATGATTAAACCAGTTTGGTTTTGTAAGTTGAGTGTTAATATTTTACGTTGATGAGGATGTTTTGTGAAGGTTCATTTTATTTTATTTTTAAGACGAATATTTATTTTCTTTTAGTTATCCTGCTAAACTTTTGTTTATTTATATTTTTTGTAATTATAACAACATCATTAAAATGCGATGACCACTAATTAGACTACTGATTTTCTGTATCTTTTATTTAGTTTTTTGGCTTTTCTATAAATTATATTCATTTTTTGTTTAAATATAAATTGTTAAAATCATGCGATCAAGTCCATTCTAGTAATAAGAATATTTTGATTGGGAGACGTAATTTCTCTGACCACTACTATATATGTAAATATATTTTTAAAAAAATCAAAAGAACGACATAACTACAAGCATACTTAATATTGGTTTTATATTGCCACGGTAATTTGGTGCGAACCAAATATTATCGATTGATATTAACAGTGTAATTTTGGGTTGGTTTATGTTTCAATTGGTGTGGACTGTACAAGAGTTGGATCAAAAGTAAACATTTGTGAAACAACAAAAGGTTATATTAAAAATGATGAATACAAACCAAAAATAACTAAAAATTTGTGCGCTTGATTATCTTTAGAATGTAGGTAAAATATCTAATGGAAGAGAGAAAAAAATAACTTTTTTTGGAGTTATGAATTGTATTGTCGAGAATGAAATAATTCTGCTTTAGGCGGAAATTATATTATGCTCACTGTGGACTCACTTCATGTTTAAAAATGATCTTGATTTTCTTGGCCTCCTCTTCTTTCCTATACTTCCTTCACCCGGCTGTTTCACTTAGTTTCAGAACATCGTGTTTCTTTAATAATGTCTGGTAAAATATCAATGAGTATGCATACTTCATTGCAGCCTAGGCTTAACTGGGCAGGAATAATTGACATGAAGATGGAGGCTAATAAAATAGTGGTGAGGCCAAGAATTAATATGAATAATTTTTTTTTTCTGTTTTAGTGTTTCAGAGGTTAATCTTTGAACAGGCTTAATTGTTTGCTCATGCGCTTTATTAATAGTGTCTCCAAATCCAATTTAAGTGAAACCGTATTTGACTCATACCCTACAGTTTTCCAGTATCCACCGATCCTATGGTTCGTAACGAGCTAATAGACAGCTTAAATCATTCATAAATAAATTTCAATTTTCTTTCAAAATTGAAACCGGTAATAATAACTTAGAACTGATTGGAAATGGATTGAACTAACTCTCTAGTTTTATAGATTTCTAAATAGGTACGTATTTACTTATTACTTATCTGTTTTAGAACAGTTGTTGGCATTAGGTTTTCTGGAATGTCAGTATGTTCAATTCAGTTGTAATGCGGAATGGACTGTTAGCAAACTTTCGGTCACCGTTTGGCTTTAGAACCGTTTGTCGGATGTTTGTCTTCGGGTTCCATGTGATTTTATAGGTAGCTAGTTGAGTTAGTGTTTCCTCGTTCGGCATAATGACCGGTTGAGGTGCCCTTCATTAGCGAAAAGTTTCGTTATATTTCTAATGCAGTTATTGTTACTTTTCTGTTTGAGTTACTCAGGTTATTAGTTAATTACAACAGAAAAAAAATCATTATTGTCTTAAAATTAACGTGAATGAATGAAAACCTGTTTAATAGTGTCTCCAAATGGAATTTAATTGAAACCGTATTTCATATAGATAAAGCAAATAGATACAAAATATAATATTCATATAAATGTTACAACACATTGACAATGGAAAACTCCGTCTGTCGAGGTCTGTGTGATATTTCTACAAAGTAAGTTCATTTTTATATCCTAAAAAAATTAATGAGCAATAATATTTTTAAATTATTAATAATAACATTTTAAAATTGTTTCACAGTGCTCAACCCTTCAAAAATAAAAAGTTTTCTTTTATATACAAACATTAAAAGTTAGCAAAACTTGATCAATAAGCAATAATGATAAGTATTAAATACATAACTAGATAAAGTAGTTTTATAATAAATAATAAACAATACAGCAATAAAAAACACATTCTATCCATAATAAATAAATTAGGCATTCCAATAATCATTCACGAAGAGTCAAGTTGGGCTCTTTGTAATGTGGCTTGTTGTATGTAGTTACTTAGGGCTTTCCAATTAGCACCTCTCAATAGAATAAATAATTCCTCCGGTGAACAATGCCTGCCGACCAAAATATTTTTCCTTTATCTCACTGTAGACATGACAGGACCCCAGGAAGTGCATCGTATCTTCATTTCCCCCGGAATTACAAACCGGGCAATTATCATTACCCTCCAGAACCCACGGTTGAATTCCGTAATTGAATAAATTGAATAATTCCGTCCTGAATCGGATAATCGACCTTATCGATACAAGATCAAAAATGTCATTGAGTAATGTTATGCAGTGGCATATTTAGAAAAAAATGGACTGCTGACAGTTTTTGAGACAGTTTTTCTGATTCTTCAACCATATGTTCAATTGCGATCAAATTTACTCGTAGATCGGCGGTATTAGAAGTATCAATCCTAATACGATAAAATGTCTCTTATTCCAACCACTTCCGGTACCAAAAAATTTATTTTTGATCACTTCTTTTGTTAGAATGTGTGGTAAGCGAAAATCAGGCATATCCTTAGTGACATAATGCAATATTATTCGATGAAGAAGTATTCAAGATTAAAAAAAAGTTCTTAAAATGGAAATTCTCAAAAGATTCATTCTGTTAAAGTATATATAATAATTATTATTCATATAGATAATTACTGAACACAAATGATAATGAAATGATATCGAATTACAAGTGTGGATAATTAATGCAGACGTTTTGAGTAATCGTTTCCCAATGACAACATAAATTTATAATAATTAATCTGATCATTAGAAATATTTCATTTATTTATTGTTGTTTCCTTTTAACTGAAACATAACAGGTAAAAGAAAAATACTAGTTCAAAAAAATTTAACATATCAGAAACACTATATCTCGAATCTAAGATATTTTTAATTTCTAGTAATATTATGACATTTTGAAAAAAATATCATCTTGTTATAGCGATGACTCATTTTATTGGCTTCTTTATGGTGCGAAAAAATCTTTAAAAAAAAAAAATTTTATTGAATAGAGACATCAACCAATAAATGATTTTGTTGTAAATAGTTATGTGATCTCATTGAAATAAATTAAAATGTCAACTTTTACGTTTCCCTGACCTAATAGTTCAGGTTGCCGGGAAACCAGCAAACTCGTACTTTGTATATGCGTTAGCACGCTTAGTTGCCCCTTATTAATGATTAAAAATAAATAAAAATATTATATAAAAAAATAATATGATATTCGTATGTGTTAACCATTCATTTCACCACTTATATACTGAATGAACATTTTTTTATTGATTGCGATATTACTTTTACGGCCTCTTGTTTGTAGAATTATTTTGTTTTAGGCATTTCCATTTTTAAGGGAAGTAAATTGATCAAAAATTTTAAATTAAATTCGTGTCATTTCTTTCATCAAATATGGAAATAACAACCTTAGGTCACGTCAAACGAGTCTTGGACATGCTATACTTCGCACATAAATATTGCATATCTGCTGCTTATTTAAGAAGAAAATTGCTTATATTGGGTCACTTCCAGCACTAGCTTCCAATTATCTTTAAAAATAAATCATAAATAGTAAATCAATAATAGTTAGATAAATTAAAATTATTCATCACAATAAAATAATAATATCAAGATGATCTGAACAATCAAGTGCTTTATTAGGAACAATAGCACAGATTTTTACTTTCACTTAAATACTGTAATATATAGTAAGTGTAAGTATTCTGAGTAAGTAATCTGAGTTTTTAACAGAAATACACTTTTTGAGGTCCTCTGAGTCCAAATAACCAAGTACCGAAAATGGTTTGTGTGTCTGTGTGTATGTGAACACTCTAGCTCGAAACCGAAAAATCTAACAAAACTGGCATTACCTATTTAAGATAGATATATACCTTAAATCTCCTGGCACCTTTTTCCTTAAAATCGGCTTACCGGAAGTATATATTAACACTGAAACACATTTTTACCATTTTCTAAAAAAGGGCTATAATGATTTTGATTGAACTCGGTGTATCATTGTATAATTAAGTGGTCTTTAATATCATTTAGGTCTTATTACAGGGCCTAAATGCCTAATGTTCTTATGCGCCTTCCTATGGTTTATTTTAAATAATAAACATTCTCTCATTTTTAAAAGTTACGAAAAAATGTTAAATATAAGTTTTGAAAGAATTTGATAATTGAATAAAGAAGAAGAAAAAAATAAAAAGGCTTATACAGATCGAAAATAAATCTCAGGAAATACAAGTAAGAAGGTACACTTATAATATATCATTAGAAAGCGAAGAATTTTGTAAAAAACAATGTATAATATAGAGAATTGTAGAAGGTAACAAAGAGCGGCAAAAAATTATAAATAATAATTTTTGAAAACTGATAATATTTAACGTAAATCACATGTTTTCAGGGAAATTAAATGAAATTTACTAACTAAATGTAAACTTTAAAAAATATGTTTACGTTTGTAGAAAGTATTTAAAATCCACCTAATCAAGACAATGAATGGCATTGTTAAAAAAAAACATTTCATTGTATTTGTGTGAAAGAGGAAGAAAAATATAGAATCATTTTATGGATGTATAAAGCATATGTTAATAACCTTAAATACGCTTACTGTAGTTTAATGATCATAGATCTGATATTATATTCAAATAATTAGTTATCAACGTTTATTCCGAAAAATTGTCTTGTAACTTTTTAGAAAATTAAATTAGTGAGTAATCTGATGAATCTTCCCTTTGTGATATTCCAACATTATCCACTGCTATTTCATTGTACTTGTGTGAAACAAGAAGTGAAATATAAAAATATTTCATAGATACGTTTACAACATTTACTGTAGTTTAATAACTCTAGATCTGATATTATATTTAAATATTTAGGTTTCTATTGTCCGTTTATTCCAAAAAATCATCATATAACCTTTTAGAAAGTTAAATTAGTGAATAATTTAATAAATTTTCTCTTTGTGGTACTCCCACAGAATCTACTTACAATTAGTGTGACAACTTTTTACCAGGCTATGACAGACAATGGAAATCTCTTAATTCCGTTTTAATAAACTTTGCAATGGAAAATAACAGTTTAATAACTAATAGTCGTACAATCCATTATCAACGAATCGTACGATCCATAATCAACCGATGATATAACAAATAGGACTTTTGTTATGTAGGGAAGTGGGGTAGCTCAGTGGTAAGGCACTGAGCTTCCAGTGCTAAAGATCCCAGGTTCGAATCCCGGCTCATGGCAGAGAATTTATTTATTCTGTTTCATTGACCGTGGGGCGACCCTGGGTCACACCCAGCCTCTGTAAAGTGGGTACCCTTAATTAAATAATTGGTTAAGGAGAAAAAAGCTGGTGGTTGAGCGTGATCTCAAATCAAATCACCTTCTTACACAACCGTTGACCTAGAAACATTGCTTTCCCTAAATAGTACTGAACCCAAGACCCTTTGGATTGTAGTGGTACAGGTTTTTTTTGTTGTTGTTATTTTAATAGTATTTGAGATTTGTTAGCTTCAATCTTTTAGCTTTGGATCAGTTGAAAATGCAATTCGAAAATTTTATAATAGTACAACATGACCAGAAAATAATTTCTACTCAAAGTTGGGCAAACTTCAAAGAATAAGTGAAAGTTTTGTGTTGCGCCAGATTTTTCAGTTTGCTATGAAAAATTCCTCTGTACATCAACATATGGTCAATTATCGATTATATAAATAGTATGAGTAATACAATTTAATTTTTGAGGTAAAATATAATGTCTGAATGAATGAATAAATTATGGTTGAGTAAATTTATACAACAAAGAATACATACAAAATAAATAAAAATATTTATGGTTTGGTTATTGAACCATTGGCCAATGGTTGGTCCTGGAAGTAATATAATTATTATTATAACATCACAGGTGGTATATAAGTTACATAAATAAACGATCAATCTGCTGTAGACTGTCGTTTGACCTCTACAATATGCTGAAGCTGTAACTGAGAGAAGGAATAGCCTATGTGATGTCCTTGATTTTTTTGTTTCCCAGTTGGCTGAATCTTCAGCACTTTTAGTAATCTAATTTTAAACATTGTTGGAAGTTCTTGTTGCATGTCTTTTTTGGGCAATTTCAAGGTGCTATTGCATGCCCGAATATATATAAAATTTATTGCCCTCAAGCTCCTTGATGTAATCTTCTTCATTGATCATTATATTCTCTATTCTAACCACTTTTCCCATGCTTACATGGGGTACTGCACATTTATTGAGGCCGAATTCCAATGCCATTAGTAAAATATGAAACGGCTTCAACCATATTCTGTAACTGGTCTTTGTTTTTTGCTTATTGTTTGGGCTTGTGGATATACCACGAGCTGTGGCTAACTGATGTTTGCTTCGTCTTTGATGATAAATTTGTATCCCACATTATTCTTTCAAAGAATCCTGCTTATGTTAACAGCGCCATAAAGAACCGTATTAAGCTAAAACAACCCCCTTTGTATATTCCTCGTAATATTTTAATTTGGTTCCCTTTGTAGGTAGCTCCGACTTAAGGGAAGTATTTTGGAAAACTGTCAGGATGATCAACCATTTGATTTGATAGGAACCTGCTTATATTAGATTAAACCATGTATATATACATATACATGTATATATATATATATATATATATATATATATATATATATATATATATATATTTGCAAATAAAAACTTTGCAGAGGCTGCGTTTTTAGCAAGCATGCCCAAAGACCACGGGAAAGTGAAGTCTTGAGGTTGGTCCATGTTTACCTTTGTGGGGCCATGGGAGTGAATTAGATGAGCGTAAAACTCTACTTCATTGCCTTATTTGACACCTTGTAGGAAAACTTCGTTTTTTAACATAAAAACATAGAGAAACATAAAAATTCGTTTTTGAGGGCAGACTACGGAAAAGAATTTGTCAACCAAGTCTTTGAAAAATTTTGTATTAGAAATGGTATTCAGCTTCAAAGATCAATCGACTATTGTCTGAAAGAGTGAACCGGAGGTTAGTATAGAAGGCGAGATCAATGATGCTTGGAGCTAAGTTGACTGCAAAGTACTGGACTGAGGATCTGAATACTGCCTGTTACTTAAAACATATAAATTCCACAATCGCGAGACACCTTTAAAACGTGGTCAAACACAGACTCTGATTTGAGATACTTGAGGATATTTTTTGGCACCAATTATGTTTACGTCCGAAATAGGGCGAAGTAAGTGGGACCCTAAATCCAAGGAATATGATTTACCGGGTATTGCAATAACTCTAAAAGATACAAAATGATCAACTTTTATTGGATATAAAATACGATATAAAATACGTATATGCGTTTTTGACGGGAATTGTTTCTATAGAGACACCGAAGAAAACTAAAATCAACCTAATGTGAATGATATTTTTGGAAATCATTCTCTCAATTCTGCCAGAATCGCCGATTTTATAATCAAATGACTAGAAAAAAGAGGAGGATGAATCTCATCTATCTAAAGACAACTTTAAAGAAAATATATTTTCATCGGATAGTTGATCTCCAGCAGCAGAGTTAACTAAATGATAGCTCCGTCATTACCTTAGCGTTTTGAAGATTTTGCAATAAGTGTTCCGATCTTCATTGATTCTTCAGGTGATCCAACGACTTTAAATGAAACTCCTTCCCGGCCAGACTCTGAAAATTGGAAAATGCTCCTCAAGAAAGAGTATAATTAAGTTCTCAGAAATTAATCTTGGGAACTGATTAATCACCCTGAGAAACATAATATAATCAAGCGCCAATGGGTTTTCAGAAAGAACTCAACATGAAAACTCAGAAAAGGTTCGTTATAAAGCCAGACTTATGAAGAAATGATCTCAAATCTATGACCGCCATTACGAAGAAAAGTTTTCACTAGTAATAATGATTAGTACTTTACGTATGTTGCTTGCTTTAACTGCATCACATTCGTGAATGGGTGAATAAATAGACACATTCACAGCCTTTCTTCAGCCAGAACTAAATGAAGAGATCTATATGTGTCATCCAGATATGATAGAGGTTGGTATGATAAGGACAGCGTTCTACTAAGTCAAAAAAGTCTCAGTAATGACTATCGAAAAAAATATACATATATATATTTGATGACGAGTTTGTTTTCATACTTGCGCTGTATGTACCTAGATGATATGAATGACTGAAAGTTAATGAAAAAATAATTTATTCTGGGACTACAGTCTCCTAGGAATAATAACTTAGTTACATAATTAAGAAAATTAGTTTGGCTTAGATGAATAAAAAATTATGCCTAATTAGCAGTTGATTGTTATTGCAATTGTGCAGTTGATTGAATTAAACAGTGTACAAACGCCAGTACATTTTACATGTTTGCTAGGTTTGAATATGGAGTAGGTGGTGAAACTGAAGTTTTGCATAATTTTTTATCACTCTCATCCTTTTCTCTAGCTTCGTACCAAAACAAACGTACCGTTTCTGAAATATAGTTATATCAATGAAACATATTCATCAGGGATTTGACGAATTCATTTTATTAATTTTCTTAAATTTAGATATACAAGATTAGATACATCAAGCTTCAAAGATTATAATCTTTGAATAATTATAAATGTACAAATAATACAAAGATTTAAATTAATGAAAAAATAAGAAAATATTTTGTGGGAATGATAAGCGAATTCCAAGAACATTGTTTGAGCCGAGTAGGTTATTAAATTTAAGTTTTATTAAATTAATAAATATTATAAATGCATTGCTTTTACAGGCCTGGAGGTCGAATTCATAGCGTCTATTTGGGCAACGTCGTTGCTGAGTTAGGGTCCGTCAATATTTATGGAGGATCCATTAAGAATTCGGTCTACGCTCTAGCGTCAAGAGAGAATTTGATATCTAAGCACGCCTACGATTATCCTATGGGCCGTGGCATCTGCATGACAAGCAAGGGGGTCGTAGTGCCCAAGCTGGTCGATGCTACGGCGCCCATCAGCATGGCCATGATCCATCAGCAAGCCCTCGATATCTACGGGAAAGACACTGGCGACGTCGGCAGCCTCTGGGACTTCTTCGTCACTAGGATACATCAAGAGTGCTCCCTTTACCCAGAACGTCTCAAGAAGTACGCAGCGAGATACATGCTAGCAATAACCAATGACATCAGATACAGGATGGGTAGTGACTTAAGTAACATATCGGCCAGCCAGTTCGGTAGCTACGTCCCATGTCCGGGAACAGACATCAGGATCCCGACCGGAATGGTCGGAACCTTAGCGCCGCTACTTAGGACCATGCCGACCTGCGATCACATCCTTTATTGCAAAGTTGTAAACAAAATCATCTGGACTGAAAAACTTTCTGATAAATCAGACAGAGTACAAGTTGTCTGTACTGATGGCAAAGTATTTCATGGAGATTACGTGATTTTAACTATGTCTTTAGGAGTCCTCAAAGAAAAACTTGGTATGATTGTACCTCCCCTGCCGTCTGTGAAAACTGATGCTATCAAGAAAATGGGTTTCGCAAACATCAACAATATTTTCCTAGAGTATAGTAATCCGTTTTGGTTGTGGAAGAGCGGTACTTTACGGGTTGGTTGGTCTCTGAAGGAGTTGAATACCAGGAAAACTTGTCCAGACTGGACAAAAGCTGTAGGAACAGTAGACGAGGCTTCTGGATCTCAGCAAGCATTGTTCATGGGAGTGTCTGACCAAGAGGCGGATATAGTGGAAAAACTTAGCGATGTGAAGATAGCGGAGGATGCTACCCGATTATTGAGGACGTTTACCGGTGATGCTACTATCCCTTACCCTGATAATATTCTAAAGTCGGCTTGGAAGTCAAGTCCCTACTTCCGGGGAGGGCGCCCATTCATACCGACTGGGGCGACGGTGGTAGACCAGTGTGCCCTCGCTGCGCCAGTGCCCGACTCGAAGCAATTCATTCCTGCTCTGCTCTTCGCCGGAGATGCTACTGCGCTCGGGATGACCGGAACTATGCACGGAGCCAGGGCAAGCGGAGTGAGAGAAGCAGACAGGATATTGGAACTCACTCGTATGGCATCTGGAAGACCGAAACCTAGCATGTTAGGAGAAATGGGATGGAATAAAAAATCTGAAAATCAGAAAATGGCTGCGAATAACTGAAAATAAAAATATTTTGGCTGAAGTACATTTTTGGTAGCGCTAATTTAAAATAGTACATTATTCATACAGGGTCTTGAAATAAGGTACACACTCATTATAAATTTAGTAGTATATGTGCCATGTTAAATGGATGGTTATACAAAAAAAAAAAAATTGAAATCATTATTAATAATAAAAGTGTTTCTAAAGCCAATGAATTTCAAACATTAAAAAAAAAAAAAGGAGGAAAATAAATGTATAATATTGTATCTCACTAGACTAATTAAACTTATTATATACAGGATAAATTGGAAAACATTAACATTGGAAAAAATTACTGTACTTAATTTGGTATACAACAAAACTCATAAGAGCATTATTTATATATGCGATTCATTTCAGTTCAGATGTGAAAAAATGCATCAAACTAAATGACTAAATAACTAATAACTAAATACAATACCAATACTATAATATTGATATTAATATCAATACATACAATTATACAATACATTATATATACATATTTCGGTGAAACCAATACAAGACAATTTCTAAAATTTATTGAGCTAAAAAAAAAATAAATAAAATATAGTATTCGAATGTCAAAGTTTTAACACCAGAAAATTAGAACGCACACACAACAAGTTACTTAGTCCTATAAACATAGACAAAAAGATATGGTCACTTAACAAATTTAAAATTGAATAAATAAATAAATAACGATAATCAACCCCTAATTACTCTATATGTGATGATGAATGATCCCAAGGGAGTCCAGAATATACCCTCGGCCAACACTGCAAGCTCCCCGACATCAACACCAAGTTCCTCGAAGAAGTTCCCTGTTCTTTTAGGAAACATTCCGCGAGACCCAAACCAGGGGCCTCTCACTGTGAACTCTTCTCTCTCCGAACGTCTCGCAGAATTCCTATTTTAGGAAAGGGATGCATTTCTCGTAGATTTCCTTTTTTCCTCTTTCTACTTCATTGGCTAGATCGAGGTCGTTGCTCCCATAGCGAACAGTTGGATCCAAGACCAGTGCCGCCTTTCCGGTCCTGGAGAATGCAACTATATTCGCGTATCTTGTTTATCCATCGCTATCAATAAAATAGACCTCGTCGAAGCATACGAATTCCATTTTCCTAAAGAGCCTCATCAATTCGAATTTTACCCAATAGTTTTGGCGTGTTATGAGGAGGGATTCGTTAGTGCATTTTCCAAGCACATGGGCTGGTGTTTCAGACTCACAGTGTCACAGAGGGACCCAAGTTACTTTGACTGTCCACTGGCTCCTGGGACTCCACGCAACGGTGCATAGTTGATGTAAAGTTTCAAGGCGTTGGACAATTCTGACCCCGAAAGTACATGCTTTATTAGCTTTCGGAGTCTTTTTGAAATACCTAACTCCAACGCCTTCCCACCTGCAACTGGCCCATTCTTTGAAGGAATTCTCTCTCAGCGACTGTCGTAGAGCTCTCATGCTTCGGTAGCCCTGATCAACATCCAGCCTCTGCACACATTCGGCCATTTCGGTGTTATAATCAAATATAGACTGGAACAGAGCATCCGGTACACTGGACAGCCGCTGGGTAATGGACCAATGTTGCAAAGGAGCCTCCCATTGACAGCGGATCAGTCCCAATCCTCGATACCTCGAAAATCTCAATATCTATAAAATATCTCTGGGCCACTGCCGCTTCAACCTTCGAGGAGGGTTGTAGGGGTGAGTGGAACTAGATAAGGATTGTGCTAGGGGATTTGGATGATTTATAAGATTCTGATGAAATTTGGAAACATTTTCAGGGATAAGGTCAATGACAAATGGGATATTAAGGTCATAAAGTATTGTTTTGTTGTTTAAATAGAACGGAGCATCGACTATTGTTCGGAGGACTTTGGATTGAAAGGATTGGAAGCGTTTGATGTTAGAAAATTTTGCTGTTTCCCAAAGTTCAAATCCGTAGGTCCAAAGGATTGTCTTGTAAATCGGTAACTTGTTGTCAATTGAAAGTTGAGATTTTCTAGTCTGTATAAATGGCCTTATCGTCGGTTAAGTTCTTGTATTTTAAGTTTAGTATGTGGATTCCACGTTAGTCTTCGGTCTAAGGTAAAATCAAGATACCGAACTGTGTCTGAAAAAGAAAGCTGGATGGAATTAAATTGGACTGATGGACAGGAACTGTACCGGACTGTGAAGGTAATGTGTTTGGATTTGGATTCGTTTATTTTGATGCGCTATATATTACACCAGTGCTCAATCATGGAGAGGTGCCTTTGCGAATATAAAGATGCTATTTCACGATCTGAGTTGGATGATAGGATGGCGGTGTCATCAGCAAATGTTGCCAGGAAGTTATTGGGATGTACAGGGATATCAGAGGTAAAAAGGATGTAAATGACGGAGCTCAAGAAGCTACCTTTAGGAACACCGGCTTCAACTGGGTAGGAATTGGAAAATTCTGTACCACAGCGAATTCGAAAGGTGCGATCAGAGAGGTAGGAGCGGAGGATTAGGTATAAGGACTGCGGAAGATGTGTTTTCAGATTGGAAAGAAGCCCGACGTGCTATACCCGGTCGAAAGCTTCAGCTTCAGCTCCAGAAATGCACCCGATGAATATTGCTTGCTTTCCAGTGCTGCAGAAATATGATCGATCACTCGGAGTCCTTGTTGGACTGTGGAGTGTTGTGAAAGAAATCCGAACTGATAGGAAGGAAGATTTTGGGATTCTATAAAGGTCAGGATTCGTTTCAGAAAGATCTTTTGAAAGATTTTTGAGAGGATTGGGATTAGGCTAATTGGTCTGTAAGACGTTGAGGTGTTGGGAGGTTTACCTGGTTTCGGAAACAGGATAATAGTGGAATGTTTCCATAAAGGAGAAAATCGGGTGGTTCTTAGGATGGTGTTATATGAGTAAGTGAGAAATATAACAGCTTTAGGAGCAAGTTGTCGAAGGATTTGAGAGGTAAGGAGGCCGTATTCAGGAGATTTACGGAGATGGAATTTTTTAAAGTGATGTTTGACCTCAGGAGGATTAACTGCTTTAGGGGGCAAGGAAAGTGATATAAGGAATTCTTCTACTGTTGTGGTATGGGTGGCGTTGGATTCCGGATGAGAGGTGAGCGTAAAATTGATTAAATTTATGAATTTATGAATGTCTGTTTTTCAGACACGTTCTCCATTAAAATTAATCACAGATGCATTTCATGGTTGACCATGATTATAATATGAGAAGGAGAGTTGGTCGGGGATGCTGTCAGATAAATACTATATACTACAGACTTAACCAATAAAACACTCTTTTAGTATATAGTATTTATTAGACCGCACCCCCGTCCTCTTCTCACAAAATACTTATTATTTAAAATATTTTTAATTATAAAATTATCTTTCTACATCATTTGGTGTGATAGGGGAAAATTGATATGCACTTAAAATCTCCGGGTTGAGGCCAAGGTGCCTAGGAACAGTTGAATAACCACCATTCAAAATTGTATTTATACCTTATAGAATGGTGAGACATGACTTTTTTATAAAAACTTCAATTCTTTCAACTTGGCCTGATACACCTGGTTTTCCATCAGTTTTAAAAACTGTTTCATGTCTGTTGTAAGGCTCAATCCAAAATTCCAAATTTGATGATAATGGTGAACTTACTTTGGCCTTTTTAAACAAACAGAAATATGATCTCTTGCAAAAGTAGGCAACAAACTAAAATAGAAACTTAGAATGATGTTTACTTGGGAGAAGATGGGTAAGTGGATTTCCAAGAATTGGCAAACATATATAAAGAGAATTATTGAGGGGATAGCAGAAGGTAGGTTTGAAGTCTACAAAAGTGTGTTTTTATTTATTTATTTAGAGATATAACAATCTGTCACGTGGGTAACATATATGAACACATTCACACCATATATACAGATAATATAAAATTAACAAAAGTAAAATAATAACTAAATAATAATCAAAAACTATGTACAATAAAAAATAAAATAACCTAAAGATAAGTAAATTAAAAACATAAAAACAAATTCATACAATATACACAATCAGGCGTTGAACCCCAAGCCAGGCTTCTCCCTCAAACTATAGAAGAAAAAGCAGGACTCCAAGAGATCCTTGTGCTACTCTCTCAACCGCGTCACTGGTGCTAAAGTCAGTGGAGTTTGAGAGAGAGCGCTTTAGCCACAATGTAGGAATTAAAAATAAATTAAATGTAATGAAGTGAACACTGTGACTCCTTGAATAATACTAACTTTATTTACGAACTTTTGTTTTGAAAACAATGCTAATTAACACATATGTTTTTATATTATTTTATAAATCTGAATTAATTCATTTATAAACTACTTATCAATGCACTAACTATCATCCCCACCCCAGTTCACGAAGTGAACTTCTGGTTCATTTGTATAAAACTTAAAGCAGAACTGAATACGAAAAAGTAATAAAACCTTAGAGCTAAAAGAAAAAAGACAGAAAAATAATTAATAGATTCAATAATAAATTTATTGAATTAATAGATTTATAAAAAATAAAGGTATCAAAAATTATAAAACATGTAAACATTATATAACGAGATTTACTAAAGAAGAAAATAATAACCTATAGTTAATATAAATTCTAAAGCTTGAACAAAGTAATAAATTAATTAGAATGAAACGAAAAACAGAATTTTTTTTTATGATAGTCACTGCCGATCTCCCCATCGGCGATATGCTTTAATTGGGTGAAGAGGGATGCGAAGATGCCGTTTAATTGTTCAAATGTTTATAAATATTCGTATGCCTCACTCTCTGTGCACCCGATAGCTCTTGAATAGACACAATGTTATGTTCTCGCAACGCTACCGCTTTGAATGACCCTTCTTATCGTTGATTCCCCATTCGACGAATGGATGGCGGCAAGCCTAATGAAATCTTTTGAGATTCGTCCGGTACAGCCAAGCAGAGATGTTTGCCCAATAAAATTGTCTCGAAAAAGTTTATTGTGCACTCGCATGGATGTATGCACTCGTGA